ATGTTTTCTTGTAAAATGATTTTGTATACTTCTTGATAATCCGATATTTTCTTTAATATCAACTATAAATGTATGTATTTCCTTTGTATCTTTTCCTTGTAAAATGATAATGTATGTTTCCAGAAAATCCAATATTTTCTTAGATATCAACTATAGATGTATGTATTTCCTTTGTATCTTTCCTTGTACCATGATAATGTATGTTTCCAGAAATTCAATATTTTCTTAAATATGAATTGTAGTCTTAAACCCTAAGACCAAAAGTGTAAGAAATGTTGGACTGAGAAATAGTATGTAGTTATATCCTTTTATAAAACTAATGAAGTGTAAGTTACCCCATAAATCGAGTAGTTTCGTTAATCCCTATGTGAGTTATTATAACCATGCTAATATGACTGATATGCCTGAACGACGTTCTTCGGTTGTCGGAGCTAGTAGACATTTGTCACCCTAGACTTGCTGGTCTAACTGTAGCTAACAACTGAGGTGTGGGGTTGTCAATCCCGTATAGATCTATACATAAATATCTAACTCTCCCTCAAGAAGACTTTATTTATAATGCAGGACTTAAGGTGTACACTAGGTAGGTACGGTGAAGCGAATGTCTCACAAGAGCATCAACAGGTTCATGTGAACTATGACTCATTTTTCTTGTAAAATGGAATAATTATACCTTTGAATTAATTATATGGTTCTTCTTAAATGAAAGTGTGGTTTTATGACTCCCAAACTATACCAATTATAGTTTATCTTGTATGTTTGTTGAGACTATTTATATACTCTTTTATATAAATATAAAGTTGTAATCTTGTGTAGTGTCAAAATACATAATCAAAACATGATATCTTTGGGTTGTAACCCACTAAATTAGAAAATAACTATAATGTAACCATTTTTGCTACAAAAGCTATCTTTTAGTAAAAGTTTCCAAAACCTTGTAGTTTCACAAATCGTATTTTCCTGATGATATTTGTATCATATAATGAGTTATGTTTTTGTTAACTTTTCATACCAAAACTAATATATCACAAATAGTGTATAAAAAGTAGTGATAATCATGACTTGAGCAAATAATGGTTATACTTCAAGATCAAGAAGTAACAATAAGTATTTATGTAATGAATGAATTTTGACTTGTATTCCCCCTAAAAACATGAAAATCTCGAAAAAGTGGGGGTATGAACTCACCTTGAGTGATTTTGTGGGCTATCTGAGAAGATGGTGTGATGGTTTCCAAGCCTAACACTTGAAGGTGGTGGTTGAACTTTTTTGGCAAGAATGTTATCCTAAGAGTTCAATACATAATAATATGTGTGTAAATATAATGAAACTAACACAAAAGTGTATAAATACACTAGATTTGAAGGAATACTTACCAAGAATCTAATAATAATCTTGGAGAAATTGAACTTGGACGATGTTTGGTTATGGTTCTTGAGACAGTATGGCATAATAAGAGATATAATGGCAATGCTGGTGTTTATGGAGATGATCTCGTCCAAAGATAAGGTGGTAAATGATGGGATGTTTACTTGGAAATCTTTTGGTTAATTACTTGGAATACTGTCTGGTAATATATAGCATGGGAAAAGAGGAAAAGCATCTAAACCACAAAGTCAAACCCTCTTATCTGTTTCCCTAAACCGAAATCACCCTAGAAAGGGGTTATAGAGGTGTTTTCGGCCATACATGATCGAAATCACCCTAATCCCTTTGTGATTTCGGTCCTAACCCCCCCCCCCCCCAACAAATGATTTTTTGGCCTTAGTGGGCTTGTAGCATGTGGTTTTCGGTCTTATTGCTTCATGGGTGGGTGATTTCAGCTTTAGGTGGACCGAAATCCCATTCTTTGTGGGGTACTAGGCTTAAATTATAAAATAATATTTTAGTTTCATGATTTGTGTTCCCACCATTTGACTTGTCTTGACATGCTATCACTTGTTGAATCTTAAAGGTTTATTATGAATATGATCTTCAAAGTATATATTCCTATATATACACTTATCCAAACCATGTCCTCTTGGTTTTCAAATTTTTATTGCAACAAACTACGTTGTGAATTCACTTGCGCATGGTTACAATTTAAACCTTGCTTGATCCAAATTTTTCGGGTTGTCACAATGGCAGTAAATGATTGTAAGACTATGATTTGGCCCATATCGTTCATTTTCTCATGTATGATATGTGGTAGTTTGGGAAATCACTAATCTTTGTGCTTAAGGTTTTTATGGTTACAATTTCAAGTACTTTCGGTTCGAAAGGGAAGGGCCCGACTTGATCGCAACGCATCCACCCATGTTTCCGCATCATGATGATTTTGGGATTGTATTATGATAACTGTTTTCTTAAAAACGTATTTTTGAATATTTAGATAAGAAGATATTGAATGTTGACTTAAAGATAATTAATGTTTTGGTTGAATTAAAAATGAAAATTTTACCTCATAATTTTGGATCTTTACAAACCACTTTACATGTATGAAAATGGTATACTTGACATATAAGAGGTGAAAAAAATCAGGATCCAATTAAACTCAACGGTGAACTTTTCTTGTGTTTATATGTCAATATCCCTAATTTAAATAATAACAAAAATAAAAAAAGGGAAAATGAGGAATTTTAGTTGGATTTTTGATAAAACGATAAAAAAGAAATAGGAGGCGGTTCAGATCTTGTGCGGGAAAAGAAAAGGAAACAGGAAAGAAGGAAAGAACAGGCAGTGTGCAGGGTTACTTGCAACCAAGAGATAGAAAAACAAAAAAAATTGTTTTTTCGTTTGTGTGTGAGGTGCGATCTAACCAGAAAGAAAGGAAAACATAATCAGTGGGACAAAGAGGAAGGCATCAGCGAAATCGGTGTCGCTGTTGATGTTGTTAGAGGTGGGGAGGAGGCAGCACAAGGGCTTCTGTCGGCAAAAAGTGTACCAATTCTAGACTGATTCACAAAGCCACATATGAAGCCGATAACCCATTTGACGTGTCTCTAACATAATCTTTTCAACTTATGGAACCCTAATTGTAACACCGTAAATTTTCAAACAATTTTTTTCATTTTAAAATCACATAATTCTCATAACACATTTCCCAAAAATCTCATTGATTTAATTTACAAACCACAACTCCATAATTGTTTGATTAATAATCCAGGATCCTCAAAACATAACTCTTTCTCTGGTGTGTACAATCAATCTGGCGCCTTCCCGCGATCCTGAGAAAACTTCAAACACATATCACATAACACGATAAGCACGAAACTTAGTGAGTTCCCCAAAATACCACACATATCTCAGTAGCCTCTCATGGCTATACTCAGATAAGACCCTCTAGTGAATGTGTCTCAGTAGGACCCTCCGGTCCCAAAACTCGGGTGGACCCTCCGATCCTAACTCAATAAGCTCATAATAATAATACTCAACATAAATCACAAAGACATAATGCAGAATATCACGATACAAAGGTAAGCACATAAGACATCTCAGCCACATAAAGATACCACTCATGGTAAGTACAGTGAGAAGACTCACCTTGGATGATGAACAACCCCTAAAAATGTTGTTGCTATGCACCAACCTCTATCTCTGAGCCAAACCCACAATTAACCCAATTACGAACTAATTCCAAACTCTCACTCATTAGGTCTAAAGGTAGTCCACTAACCAGCCCATCAATAACCAAAAACTCATTCGGCCCACCAAGGCCCAATAATAAATGGGCTCTCCCGAGGCCCAACTTTGAAATCTAAATGGCAAGCCCAAATCAAGGGCCTAAAGCACACACATACACACATACACACACACACACACACATATATATATATATATATATATATATATATATATATATATATATATTACTCTTGTCCAAAACTCTAGTGCAACAAGCCCAAACTCCAGGCCCAACACTCAAGGCCCAAAATGAGACTTAGCCCAAAATTCCACAGTAAGGTTACGCGTGGCGTACCTCCCTTTGTCCACTTAGCGTACTCACGAATCCAGATTGGCCATCGGGGACACTTGGTCAATATGCGGGGCGTACTGGAACTACGCTTAGCGTACGACCAGGATTGTTTTTCCTACTCCTTTGGTCTTAACCTGTTAAGACATTAACTTAAATACCAGATCTGGACTCCCTAATGTATCTTACTCCATAAAGTCAGTGACTTTAAGCCTTTGCATGGCTGATAAGGTCACCAACACACAAAACTCTCACTCTCCTATCACAAAATGTTCATATCTCATGCATGACTTGATTCCAACGTCCAAGTCTTGATTTTTATGACATTACACCACTAAATAGACTCAAAGGGGTTGATCAAAGTTTATGGAGCTTAATATCTCATAAAATCTCCAAATTTTGGGACAAAACCCTAAACTACTCTACTAAGATGCACAAATCAAAAGAGTGAGAAAGCTTGAAGCTTTATACCTCTATATGAAGCTCTCAACATAGATACGATCAGCTCTAAGGGCATGGAATCTCACTCCTTCTCCAAATTTTCTTCTTCACTCCAAGAACACACAAAAACACTCAAAGGCTCTCAAATGCACTCACAAGCTCCATGAACGAAGGTTTAGGGTTTAAGAGGGTTTGAAATATGAGGATGGTGGCCAGGAATGAGGCCATCTTATTCTTTATATAGGGACACACCCAAAATTAGGGTTTTCACTTTGTGCCTAGTACGCCCAGCATACTAGGTGGCTCCACTAAGAAATCATGCACATGAGTACGCTAAGTGTACACAAACGTACACCTAGCATACTCAACTACCACCTTTCTCAAATAAGGGATTTATCCTACCAAAACTTTAAACTTCCATTGCTTCCTCGTTATAACTCTGTTTATACTGAACTTCATATCCACAGAAAGGTAACGAGATGCCCTATGCTTCTAGCCAATCATCGCAACCCCAAGACTTTCTCATGCACGGGTTGCAGCCCACAAACCCTAATCACGGACGATCCAAAACAGGATGTTACACCAATTAAGGCCCCCATTTCCATTAATGATTCGTACACAAACTAAATACTCGAATCTCAACAATCTTATTCTATATGGCATCCTATGTGAAGCCCATTTGGCAGAAGTTCATCTTAAACACTTGCATGTCATCATAGTTGATGGATACAGTTTGGTTACAACTTTACTTACCAGGTTAGTTGATGAGTTATATTCAAAGCTTGTTGAGAATGTGAAAATTCAATTACTTGGGGTCACTTCAATAATGATATGTGTACTGGCTATTGGAATAGATGGTTTGTTAGTGGCTTTGTTGAGGCAAACTCGTGGTGGTAATTTTAGTAAAGCAAATTTGTGGTTGTGTTCTGAATTGGTTACTCTTTTCTCCATTAAATGGGATTGTTTGCTGAAAGAAGAGCCATTGGTGTTATCAAGCATTATGTATGTCTTTCTTAGGCTCTTGCCTGATCACTGTAGAGTTTCCCCAAACTCAAATTTAGACACTTTGAAGCTAAAGGAAATCGAATACTATATTAGGGTTTTCAGGAATAGTTCCATTTATGTTTTAAAATCGGAAGAGATTTGATTAGGCTTCTTAAGACTTAGGTGTTGTTTGTTTATTCTGAGGCAAAATGTCTGCAATTTGCGGACCACATCTTCAGAGCTCTGCAATAGAAAGGATGGGCTAAACGTCTGTAGTACAAAATAAAAAGACTATTTGTTTTTAAACATCTACAGACCGCTAAAATCTAAATAAACTGATTTTTTAAAACTTAAAAGATTTTTCAATACTTTTTATGATTTTATTATAGATGATTAACAAATCTAGATCATCTTTTATGTATTATTGTATAAAAAGTGAAAATAAAATTGCATGAATTCATGTATATATTTGTAAAAGTCAACAAGTTTTGGTTGCAAAGTTATACATAAACATTATAATTAGAGATCAAAGAATTTGACACATAAAGTTGATGGAAATAAACTTCGATTTTAAAATGAAATTTTTCATTTTACTTTTCAATTAAATCAATTAAAAACTTACGATAAATATTTTCCTAAGAAATGGATGATACTGCATTAAATAATGTTTAATAAAATTTGGCACAAAAATATAAGATAATATTAGTATTTTTTATATCTATATATACAACTCCAACAACCATTATTGTAATTAAAATTTTATTTATAAAGTTGTCACAAAGGCCATGCTTGTGTCGTTAAACCTTTTTTCTTGAAGTATTATATTTTTTTTCAAATTCTTTATAATAGATAAATTTGGAATAAATCTAAGTTAAAAAAAACAAAGATACATGTGTTTTGTTAAGGCTAGAAGATGTCTGAAGGGTTAGAAGACTTTGGTCCATATCTGCGCCAGAAAGAGGACGTACATACCTTTTTAGGTCTGTAGTCTTAAAAAAAACAGTCTGCGAAAGCTAATGTCTACGCGTGGTCTGCATGACATAGACAGAAGAGGCCAAGAAAATCTACAGACAAAAAAACAAACAACACCTTAGTTCATGTGCCTAAATTTCAAGAAATATGGAAAGATCTCTTATTGTTCCCTGATAATTTCAAAAGATTAGGGGTTTCACATATTTCACAGCTTTATCAATCAAGAACTTCCAACAAGTACTTTTTACTTCGGCTTACTCCTGAAATGGAAACTCACTTGCAATTCTTGCTTAGACAAGTCAAACTCGGTACCAAATTTGGTTTGGGAAGAAGTTTCTTAATGTCTAAGAAAAGAAAAGCGTTGTAATTGATATTGTTCGGTTTTATCGGTTGTGTACATCACCCTTCTAATAAAACAATTCTATCAAAAGTGATTCCTAGATGGGCTGTAATTGGTTGGTTGTTGACATGTTGTAGTAAGAATCATGTGCAAGCTAATGTGATGTTGGCATTGTTGTATGAATTTCTTTTTGTTCATGAAGAAGTTGATAATATAATGAACATTAAGCCTATAATATTCTTGATGATAAACTCGATGCCAAAATATGTTGACATGACACAAAATCTTTTGGAGTTTTTATTCCTTTTGGTCGATCATTATGATATTGAAAGGAAAATTTTGATTCTTAGGGGCGTGTTATTGATTCTTGATGTGCTTGAAAGAAAAGGTATGGTGCAATAAGTTGATGCTTTGACTAGTTGTGATTTACTTTCTTCTTTACTTAAAGAAAGACTTGTGAAGTTGTTGTCAAGTAAGAATTCGGGTATTGTTTGCAAAAAAGTTATTCTTCCAACAACCGTTGAGCTGACCGACACTGCTCCTTACAGAGCATCATGTGATGTGTAAATCAGGTACAAAACAACGAGTTCTCACAAAGATCCCGATTTACCTTGGAGTTAGGGCTTGTTTGATAAGCCTTCTCATCATGTAAGAAGCTTGGACTCGGTCCACAACCTTCAGCTTGTGTGTTTGTTTTGGTGCATTTCTTCCGACTTGGTCTGAAGAAATTGATTCAGTCGGAGGTTTTCTCCTGATTCGGTCATCAGGAAAAAAGGGGCGGACTCGGTTAATTCTTTCACGTTCCTAAATTTCCCTCATTTACACAGACTGCTTCTTCTTCTTCATCATCGATCACACCTCCAATTTTGCTTCTTCCTGTTGATTAGGTATGATTATTATACCTTTCTTGGCCTTTTTCCATTGTCAACAGAGACACAATTGATTCGAGTTCCAGTTTTGTTTTGAAATCGAAGGTATGATCTTATGACTTTTGTTCTTGCGATTCCGAGTACTTAAGTGGACCTCGTTTGCACCTACATTGTTTTGATTTACAAAATTGATAAAACCCAGATGTCGTATTTTTAGGGAATTGGGTGCAGAATCTATTTATAAAGAGAGAGATGAATTGGTGTAAAGAATGATGAAAACTGGGCAATGTATATGTCGATATTTGGATCTCCAGATGATGAATATAACACTATCACTTTGCATCACACACATGAAGGTTTATTAACTATAGATAAGAACAGAGAAGGCCATGACGTCATGTTGCAGATTTTGGTCATGATATAGCAGTTGAACCTTGTAGTCTTTCTGTAAAGAACTTCATTTTTTTTTATGTTTTATTAGGTTCTATGGTTGAAGGAACAGTTATCCAAAAAGAATCCTAATTTTTCATTTTTTTTTTATGTTTAAACATTGTAGTTTTCATTTATAATGTTTAATGTGAAATTTTCTAATGGATGGTGAACATGTTCATGATTATCATGCCTTAAAGGTGTATATTTCTTTTGTTAAATTTGAGTATTTAAATAAGAGGTACCCATTATATTGATCAAATTGGTTGGTATTATGCAATTTTCTAAATAACGTAAGACGTGACTTGGCGGCAAGATAAAAGTTAAGCCATGACAAACCTTGGCGAGCCATGATGTTTTTCAATGCGTGACTATATTATGTACATTAAAAGATATAAATAATATAATTATTGAATTTTGTCAAATATATGAAGTTTTTAGAAGTGTTATATTAATACCTAATAGAAAAAGTTAACAAAAACATATTTATTTTAGGCCCGAGATAAAAAACAAAAACAAAAAAAATCGCGCCTTGAAAAAACTCGCGTCATAACGCGATATGGCGCGCCTTGACACGTTATTTGGGTGTCACGTTTCACAAACCCGCCTTGAACGTTTTCGTAACGGCTACACCACGCCTCGCGCCATGGCACGCCATGACACGCTTTTTAGAACCATGGTATTATGACATGAAACAACTAATTTTTTGGCAAAAATAAAAGAAGGGTAAAATGTCATTTCCAGCATTCAACACAACCAGTTAATGACATAATCAAACAATCTATGACATAATCAAACAATATAGTTTCAGTTAGATAGTAGTCAGATAGTCAGATGCATGTTCAGTCAGAACTTCAGACCCAACCAATGTTTTAAAAACTGGTTTGAACTGGCCGGTCAAACCGGTTGGACCAGGAATCGGGGAAGGAAGCGATTTAACTATCACCTGTTTTATGTTTATTTCTGAACCGGATCGAACCGGCCGACTTTTACAAAAATCTGGTTCAACCAATTCATTTAAACCGGTTGAACCGATTAAATTGAATAAAAACACATGGAATTGAAACCTTTCGCATAATAAACTTTGGTAGTTTTTTCACATTTATTTAAATTTTTCTGAATAAAAGCACATGATAAATGTTATGAAGTTTTTTGATGCGTTTATATTCATCTAGGACTTCATTTTCTTTTTAATGCACATGGATTGATGTAAAATTTATAGTTATGAGTTATTTTAATGTATTTAGATTGATCTACAACTTGTTTTCATGTGTATTTTAATGATTGAACTTGTGGACATCAAATTCTTGATTTGTGTATGTATGTATGTATAGGAAAATACGAAAAAGATGAAAATTATAGAAACCGGTTTACTCAGCGGTCGAACCGGTTAAATCAGAAACCGATCACCATACCGGTTCAACTAAAAAATCGATTTTTAAAACATTGGACCCAACCAGTCTCTGACTTATTTTACTGTTTCAAACAACCCATTAGTTTACTGATTCAACAAAATGATGGGACAAACAAACAAAAGCTATTGGGAAAATGATATTAATCCAAAACAAAATACAAAATCTTATTATTGATCCTATTTGCATCTTAAAGAATGAAGAGATTCCGGTAAAACAATATACTACTCAGAGATTCATCATTCTCATTCTGGTTCTTGTGATTGTGATGTCGTTTAGGTGTAAATGCAAATTGAATAAATAGTTTTCATGTTTTTTTTTTCTTATTAGCACTACTACATTTTTATTTTTATTGCAACATTTTACTTTTGAAATATGTCCTTTATGCTATTGTGTCATACGTTGAAAGCATACCCAATATAACAATTGTGTTGGAGCATTTTCGTGAAAACTTATATAATGAAAGGAACGTCCTTATTCCTTAATCTCCCACCAATAATAAATTAATAAAGGAACATATTATAAAATTTTGCAGCAACTGTTTTTAGATCATTGACTCGTTGAAAGTTTCCGAATATAATAATGAAGAACATTAATATGTATATGTATGCATCACATATCATGTTTTTTAATCTTAATCTAAAAACATCATGTATGGGATTGGGGGTGGGTGATTCTTTTTCTCCAATCAACCAATTGTTTCGAAAATTCACTTTGCATATTTAAATCGGATCGTGTATTTTCCAAAAAGGGGGATGCCCACAGTTTTCAAAACCATGTCCATTGCACTTGGAAGTGTGGCTTCGTTTTTTTTTTTTTTTTTTTTTTTATTTTTACAAGGGATTCCCCATACCTCTTAAAAAATATTATTATTAATAATCATTCTTTTTGAATTAATTATAATAAATAAAAAATATTTTTTTCCAATATCATATTCTCATTCTATTTGATATATGTTATTTTTGTAAGTTTTTTGATTTATTTTTTATTCACTTTTAATTTTATGGTTTTCTCAATTTTATTAAATTCTGTATAATATTTAAATGTATTAATTGTAATAAGTGTAATAATAAATATATATCAATTTAATTAATACACATTTCCTTTTAATTTTTAATTTTTTTAAATTTAATCTAATTAC